GTCAGCTCACTTGGCCATGGTGTCAGCTCACTTGGCCATGGTGTCAGCTCACTTGGCCACGGTGTCAGCTCACTTGGCCATGGTGTCAGCTCACTTGGCCATGGTGTCAGCTCACTTGGCCATGGTGTCAGAGACAGTCTTGAGCCCCGAGGACGCAGCACTAGAACGGCGTAAAGAAATGAGTTTGTCCTTCAACTGCTTTTGGAAGGTCCGCGTGGCCAGGCAGGAGAGACAGAGGAAGAGGCCTTGCAGCGAGTTGAGCACGATGAACAAGTATCTGAGCACAGCTGACGGACACAGGCCACTGACCAGGCCCAGGCTCCAGGTCAGTCCCACAAAAGTTGTCAGTCGGACGCAGACGATGAGAGTGGTCCGCTGACCCTGGTGATGACGTGTGGAGCAGACGCCAGCACTCTGCCTGGTGCGGTGTATGTTCACTGTTGTCAAGGTGAAGAAGGTAAAGTTTAAAACTAAAACACACGCAAGTGGGGTAGCGAAAAATATGAGCAGGCTGATTTTGGAACTGAACCAACACAGGAGTTTGCCGTAGCCAGGACTAGCATAGCTTGTAGGTAGGAAGACGTCCAGAAGAAAAGCTACGCCAACTGGGAGACAGGGAAGTGTCCATGCGTAAAGGCTGTACCATCTAAATCTGGATTTCGATCCCCTCAAAATGACGTAAGACTTTGAGAACGTCCGCCATGTGTCGTATGCCATCACATTCATCCACAAAAAAGCTGTGAGGAACTTGTAGTGTATGAGCACCCCAGTGACCCGACACAGGGCAGACACTGGGGAAGTAAACCCGCCCAGCAGAAGTAAGGAGTTGGAAAAAAACAAAGCCACAACGAGTGAGACAACGATGTTATCTGGGAGAGTTCGCGAGGGCTTCACGAGGCAGTAGAGCGAGAAGGTGAGGAGAAGGGCGAGCAGTGAGACACAGATGCCACAAGCGCTCACGATGCTCTCAGCCCGGGTGAGCACGTACTCCATGTCGTACCCGTGGACGGAACTGTTGCCAGACACCACCATGACGTCATGCGTACATACATAAACGCCGTTGGTCGTCACCTCAAATTTCCTACGATCGAGAATGACGTCATGAACGTGTACGTGGATGTGTGTTTTGTTGAACCGGAATTCCGTTTCCTTTAACCTAATTTTTGGACACAGTAACGTGGAATTATCGGGGTCGGGGAGAGAGGTTTCCACGGAGTCGTTCTTTGGGCGACATCGATCGCCTTGAAATATCAAACTCCCGGGACACTCTACGTGTCTGCAGGAAATCGATACAGGATCAAATATTGATTCTGAGCTGCACACACCAGTCTTTGTTTCGTGCTCCGTTGTGCTAACTGAGCTATTGTGTATTGTCCTTTTGGTGCCTCGGTCGAGATAAAAGAGAAGAGAATAGGAGTAAGGGGATCTGGGATGTCCAACGGTCGGGGTCCCGCCGTATCTGTGACAGGAAACATGCTCCATGTCGCCCACGAAACACATGGCACACGACGGGTTCTTGAAGGAGTAGTAAAACCTGTGTACAATGGCAGTCTCTTTGCTCTCCTTGCAAGTCTCGCTGACGAGTTTAGGAACCCTCTCGGGGTATCTACAAAAATCTTTAACCCCCGGCAGACACGGCCGTATCGTAAACTCACTCTCAAACGGGGGGACGTATTGCAAAAAACACCAGGGTGTCTTCACCAGAAGTTTTAATGACGTCATCCCTGAGGAAGTCTCCATAGATCCAGAGCAGACAATTTTGGGAACCCAGCGGGCAAATCTTTCCCCGTGACACAAGGCGCAGTACAAATTCCGGTATATGGCTCCTGTCTTCACCCCCGTGACCGGAAGGTCAAGGTAAAAGTTGCCAGGTTTTGAGACGTCCAAGTCAACATCTGCTCCACACAGCTCCCTGTACTTGGGAAAATCCCAGGATTTCGGGCACTTGTTGATCACATAGACAGAGTCTGTTTTGGAAATACTATTGAACTTAAGACAGGAGAAGTGATCCATTTTTAAACCCATGTAACTGCTTTCACTTTTAAGAAACTGCGCTAAGGGCTTCTGTGATGAATCAGCATCAACACAGCAGTCTCCAAAGAACGAGCACACACTGTCACAAGCACACCCCATGTAGTCGTAATATCCCGGCCAGATTGTTGGGTCCAGTTCTGACCTCAAACGTTCCTTATTTCCGCAGTACCAGTTTCTGCAGGAAAATTCTAACGGTCCCAGTGGCTTCTCTTTTCTACTTTCAGAATCAACGGCTTGAGTTTGGTATTTCACATTATGAATAATGCATACACATATTATGCACGATATGAATATGCAGCGGTATCCGAAGCTCATTGCCATTTTGTATCACTCGCTCTGCTCTGTGTGAGGAGTATTCACAAAGCAGTGATGGACGTTTGTGCAAGGCCAGAATATTCTACATCTGGACTGCACGCACAATATTATGTAGGAAGTATTGTTTTAATTTCTTTCTTTCTTTCTTTTTACCTCAATCAAGTCTACGTGACTGCTGTGATTTTCCCCATTGCGGAGGCTCAGGTGTGTGTGTGTGTGTGTGTGTGTGTGTGTG